AGAGCCCAATATTGTATTAGTTTATCTTATTAGATATGGGGAGATTCTTACGGAACCATTTCATCGGGATTGGTAACCATTAGATCAACTATCCACGACAGTTACATGGTGATCTAACAGTTACAAATCCGACGAAATAGTTCCATAATGGAATTGTAGCATTTCCCATAGATATGGTTGTATATATCTATTTTCATCCGAAAATTAAGAGGAGAAAAAATAAAAGTTTTTGAAGTATTAAATTTTCTACTTGTTGTAAATCCTCAATTCCACACCTCTCTTTAAAAAAATTTCTCTCTACCCAAAAATCCTCAATTCCACACCCGTAACCCTCGTCCCTCTATCTCTCGCTTAATCTTGCCTCTGCTTCCGTCATAGCCACCCACATCACGGCGCCGCTCATCACTGGGGGGCTGGCGAGCTTCCTATTAGGCGTCCCATGGACGGACGGTGTTGGGGTGGGTGGTTCGACGGACGAGATGGTGGGTTGCCGGAGATGGTTATCGGTTCTCTTTGACCGGTTTGGTGTTGGGGGAACTTTTCGGCTGGGGCGTTCGGTGAGGAGCGGAGTGGCTCGTGTTGCTGGAGGTTCGACTCGTTTTGATCCGGGTTTACTTAAGTCACTGCTGCAGTTTCTAGATCTGGGCTTGGTCGTGTTTCTGTTTTTCGGTCGTAGCCGTTCGCGAGTGTGGCTCGGTTGTTGCTGGCGAGAGTGGAGGGCCTGCTTCTGTTTAGATTTGTCTATTTTTGTTGTGCGTTCTAGTTTGTTCATTGGGTGTGACGCCTTAAGGCCGAGCTCTATGAACTCGATTGTTGTTCATTGAGTGTGATAGCTTAAGGCCGAGCTCTATGAGGGCGTGATGGATTAAGGCCAAGCGCTATGAGCTTGGACGTTGTTCTTTGGCTGTGATGGCTTAAAGATGAGCTCTACGAGCTCGAGTGCTGTTCATGGGGTGCGATACTTATTAATTACTTCATAAATGAAGTGTTAATGAGCTGTTAGAATTATTTGAATGGCGCTTAGAATGAGTTGTTTTGGCTTGATTAAGATTTCCCAATGTAAAGTCGGCATAACTATAATAACTTAGCTATGAATGATTTATTTAAGCTGAATCGTTCATAGGTTGCAGGTGAGAGCTATGAGAACTCGAATAATACTTTTTTTTTTCTTTTCATAAGAGTGATGGGAATATATGAGCTCGAATAATACTTAACATGTGGCAAAGATATCATTGAGCTGTAGTGAAACAAAGTCCACAAAACATACCTTCTATTAAAACAAAGTAGCAGTACAGAAGCTCCGACTTAGAGAGTAAAGATAATAATAGAGATTACAACGACAAGTAAAAGGAACTTGGAATTTAATTAGCTTGCTCAGAGGAAGCGATCTGTTTGTTTATTGGTTCTGTTCTATTCTAAAGGAATTTGCCATGCCATTTTCTGATTCCTTGGTTTTGTTCTTGCATTCGTGAGGAAGAAGAAGGTGAGAGTTAATTATCCATTTTATTAAAAAATGGATAAAGTATTGTGATGTGATGTTGATTGGATGATTTTTGCATTTTTTTTCTCAATCGCTATTCACCGCCCCCCTTTTACTAGTCACCGTCCCCCCCAATTACTCTTTTGCCCTTAACCCTTTTTTGGATTTCATCTCTCTAAACTTTATCTCTCTAAATTTTCCGAACTTCAACGAACGATTCGAGCATCAAAAAAAATCCGAAAAAATGTCGAAAAAATTCTACGGCCTCGACAAAGGATTCTTCTCCAACAAGGTAATTTCTTTTTTTTTTTTTTCGCCGGAAGTATTTTTAAAAAATTTTTTTTTGAACCTGCCGAACCGGCCGGCCGTCGGTTCCGGCCGGTCCGGGTCCGTCCGGCCGTCGGTTCCGGACGGACCAAAGGTTGTCCGGTCGGCCGAACCGGCCGGCTTTTGGTCCGTCCGGAACCGACGGCCGGACGGACCCCGGCCGGTCGCGAGCCGGCCGGACAAAAATCAATTTTTTTTTTTTTTTTTTTTTT